AAAGCAAGTACTACACACAGAATAGAATACAAAGAATTATGTTAGACAATAATAAGGAAACAGATTACAGAAGATATTAGGAAATACAATGAACAACTGATTGAGAATGCAATTGAAAATAATAGGAGTGCTAATCTTGGGGAAGAAACAAATAATTGCACTGATAAACAAAAACACCAGGACCACAAACAGAAATGAAATAATTCAAGAAGTAACCAAATTTTACAGTGTTCTTCTCCAAGCATCTCTAGGGCTCTGTATAATTATACAGAGCCCTAGAGATGCTTGGAGAAGAAGCACTTAACAATGGAGAAAACATCCCAGAAGTTCTAATGGAAGAAATAGAATCAGCATTCAAAACTATGAAAAATGGTAAGGCAACTGGTAATGATGGAATAATAGCTGAAATGTTGAAATATGCTGGCAGAAAGATATGGAAAATCTTGGCAAATTTATACACAGAATGCCTAAGGTCAAGATGTATACCAGGTCATTGGAACAGCACGAATATAATACTCATCCATAAGAAAGGCAGCAAAGAGGACATTAAAAATTATATACCCCATAAGCTTACTCTAATTATTTACAAAATACTTATGAAGATTATCAACAACAGATTAAAAAACACATTAGATGTTGCACAACCACGGGAACAGGCTAGCTTTAGAAGTGGTTTCGGTACAATAGATCATATACAAACACAGAGAATTATTGAGCTGGACCAATGAATATCGAATACCACTGGCAATGGCCTTCATTGACTTCGAAAAGGCTTTCAACTACACATATCCCAGAGCATTAACAGAGGCATTGACAAACCATATATAGAAACTCTAGCCAACATATACAGAGAAGCAAAAGCTAAAGTGAAAATTTATGATGACACTCCAGAATTTCCCACAATTAAAGGCATTTGACAAGGAGACTCAATATCACCCAAGCTCTTCACAGCAATCCTAGGAAATGTATTCCGTAAAATAGACTGGAAGAATAAAAGGTATATCTATAGATGGAGAACACTTCAACCATCTAAGATTTGCTGACGATATGAAATCATCCTGATAGCTAAAGATCCTGCAGTAGTAGTCAGTGATTTAAACAAAGTTAGCAATGAACTTGGTGAAAACAAAAGTCATGTGCAATGATCTGGTAGACAATCAAGACATAACAATAAACATCATCACACTAGAAACAGTAGTTGAATATATATACCTGGGACAAGTAATATCGATATCTGGCTCACTACTTCCAGAAATTGACAGGAGGATCAAACTAGCATGGTCTACATTCAGACNCTGTACAGTGCTATTTTATTAAACAAAGTTTACATGTTTGTTGCTGTAATGATGATACTATGTTTTCCTATATTTTCATCAAAGAAAATCTACTTTATATTACAAATAAAATCACAAAAATTTTGGAGACTAGAACGGATTAATTGCATTTGCATTAATTTCTATGGGAAAAATTGCTTCGGTTAACGAACAATTCAGTTAACGAACGGAGTCGCAGAACGGATTAAGTTCGTTAACTGGGGGTTCCACTGTATTTATATAAATGATATTATAGAAACTATTCCTGAAAATAGTATTATATTGTATGCAGATGATATTGTTATAACCCATGCAGATTGGAATCTTCAATTAATTGAAAATAATATAAATTCTTTGTTGGCTAAATTAAGTAAATATATTGAAAATTATAATTTTAGTATAATTATGAATAAAACAAAATATTATTTGTTTGTCAAATAAAAACAAAAAAGCCAATCTAGGTGATTACAATTAAAAATTAATAATAAAACATATTCAGAGTTAATATTGTAAAATATTTGGTTATTGAAATTGATGATAAATTACGATAGAACAATCATATAAATAATTTAACACTGTCTTTATCTAGATTTATTGGAATATTGAAAAGAATAACGAGTTATATAAATTCTGAGACTGTTTTCCGTTTACATCATGCTTTTATGGAACCCAAACTTTAATATGGTATTTCCGTTTGGGGTACAGCTTCTTCTTTTGTATTGAACAGGTTGCAAGTGATACAAAATAACTTTATTAGAACATTATACAACTTACCTTATAATTCTTCTGTCACTTCTTATTATAACCAGACCAATATTGACAAATTAAAAGTTTTATATAAAAAACAAGTTCTTTTAGAAAGCTTTAAACTAATAAAGGTTGGCAGGAAAGAATCTTATTTAAGTGATAAGTTAAATAAATACTTTAGACCCTCTAACTACATTTATTTGTTAGAAAAATAATTTAATTCTACCAAAAGTTATGCACTGTTTTGGCTGAGATGCACCGATTTACCAATTCATATATAATATAACTGGAATGCTTTAAAAGAAGAATATAAAGATTTAAGAACTTACGGGCAATTTAAACAAGTTGTTAAAAAATTGAACTGTGTCTAGTTTTTTGTATTTTTTCTTTTTGCTGTTTTTTTTTTGTGTTGTTTATTTTTTATATTAGTATTTCTTTTGACACTTGGAAAAGGCCAATGGCCATAGTGTTGTTTAGTTAAATAAATAAATAAATAAAATAAAAATAACCAGCAAATGCTAATGACTTCTTATAGTAGACGGAGTGCATTCTTGATTTCAAAAAGGTTTGCACCCCTGCTTTAAAGCTGACATATTGTAAGTGTTCCGCGGAAAAAAAATGTTAAAGTTTAGTGTTCTCTGACTTCAAAAAGATTGAGAACCATGGCTCTAGATTGCAATATTGGCAATGCATTAATTAATTAAAGCAACAATGCCCTAATTCTGCTTGATTAATTATGTGAACTGTCATGGCAGTCCTTTGTACTCAAGGTAATGTATAGTGCTATCAACTTGTTAATTTAACTTCTTCATGCACACCAGGGTGTGTATAATAAATAAATAAAACCTACTTATTCGAGCCTCTAACCGGTGTGTGGAAATACAAAAAATAAACAACTTTGTAAAAAACAAACATTTTCCAAACACCTTCTGTGTCCTTCTTCAGGTAAAATGGCTGGATTCCTTATTCTAAAACACCGTCACGCAATTTTATAAAATAAAATTCGAACGAAGATTCGATATGCGATGTCGTGTCCCCATCATTCAGAATCGAATTTACTCTTCTCATACGTGTATGATGCACTATTTTTACTACGATCGTTACATGTCCTCATGCATCCTCATACACCAACTTAAATCTTAGTAATCATTATGTAATAAGACTTGCCAAACTAACGAAAGGGCCATTTCTTCTCGGGAGTTAATGCACATAGATGTAGTGTGCACTTTATATATTTCTATCGCTTCTAGCCATTTGAGGTGTTCCATGCGTTTTGTTTTGACTATTAATGGCTAGAGGCTCGAGTAAGTAGGTTTTATTTATTTAACTTGTTAATTATTTTTAACTGTTTAGTAAAGCAGAATTAATAAAACCACAACAGTTTCTTTAAAATCTTTCATATAATATATGAATTAAAGCTTATATAAATCATATAAAGCTTCATATTTCATATCATATATGAATTTGATTCAATTGTATCTGAATCAAATTAGTTGAGGATTAATAGATTTTTAAATCATAATTTAAATGTGTACATTAAATATTTTCTATAAATACATACAATAAAAAAAATTATCTATTATTTTTTTACATACAATTAGCATTTAAAAATAAATAAACTAATTAATTTTAATTAACAAACAACAATTATTTGATATTTAACATTTTTTTAAACAAACTTCAAAAATAAATTTCAAATATTTTCTGATAATTTTATAGTTTACTTTAAAAAATGGCTTTTCAATCTATTATAAAAGGAATCTGTTTATGATTTTTCTAATTCTACTTCAGAAAATAGCCAAAAATACCAATAATTTACTGATTATTGGTAACCCTTTCTCTATTCTATTTATCTTCCCCTAAAACTGGGTGAAGAATCTGTTTTGAAAACTGCAAAGTTAAGTTTAAAAATTTTTTTGGTTTTTGTTATTTATTAATATATTGTGTACAGCAGACTTTATTTACTTTATTTATCACATACACCTATACAGTCTTATGCAAGAGGTAGAAAAGTAATATAGACCTTAAGACACTAGAGTTTAAACCCTATTCAGATTTAAATTCATTCATTTTTTTAAATGTTGAGACCCAGGAGGTCTCTAAAAGAAATAAATTTATTGTGTATATTCATGTTATATAACTAAATACTGTAAATGTCCTTAATCATAGATATGTGATGATCTAGAAAAAAAAAAAGAATTCACAATACTGACATTCAACAATGACTAATAACTAACCACCATTCACGTCAATGCCCAGTCACTGTCAACAACACTCGTTTGAAAAGAACATATGTATTTGGACAATGACATGAATACTAGGTCAAATACATCATTGTTGCATTTCTTTGGTCATTCATATAAATGAATGGATATTCACATCATTTTACTCTTCACACCACTGATCATAAAATATATATCAAAATCTTAGACAAGTGGACAAAATTGAAAAAAGATAGAAATACTTATCATTCTATGTATAGTAAGTAAAAAAGACGTAACAAATTTAAAGTATGAAAGTATTTATAAAACTTATTTATTTATATATTTTCTTGTAAATTTTCTTCAACTACATAAATAGTAAGTTCAGCTTTTTGTTTTATTGCAACAGAAGTTTATTATTTGGGCTAATCAAAATCAGAGTAACTACATTTTCATACCACGATATGAAATTAAATATAATATATAAAAGAAAATCCTATTTTTTCATATTGCTTCTTACTAGTTATGTAGTTATTTGGCAGCATAACATAATGATGACATCACTGTTTAATTTTAAACACTAATGACATGACTTTGTGACTGATATTTTTGTGTACTGAATTATCTGTCTTTAACGTGAATTTTATTTAATTTTAATGGATTACTATTATTTATTAATGAAATATGTAATTTTCAAATAAAAATGTATATAGGACGTTTCCAAAATTTCAATTCATACTTATCAAAGCATTGTACCACTCCCCAAGCTACTGAATGCTCCATAGTAAACATCAATTCATTTCCTCCTCTATGAGTTAAATAAGCATCTTTACCATCTCTAGGTGGTACGTAAGTTGGTCGTATTCCATACAGAGAAATAATTAAGACAGTACGTTCGTCATAATATAATTTTAAAACCTGAAAATTTATTTAAAAAAAAGACTTCAGAATCAATTTTATATAAGTGAAGTTATTTTATACTTACTTTTGGAGGATCCAGCCAGTCGGGTGCTCTCTGAACACACTTCAGATCTTGTTTCTGAGTAAGAAAAGATTGAATTTGCTCTCCTCCATTTCTTCCAGGATAAATTTGAGTAAGACATTGAAAAAATCTCCCTTCTAAATATACTAAAAATACATAATTGCAAAATATATATTTTAAAAAATAATAAATTTATTCAATAAAACAAAATATTATTTGTTTGTCAAATAAAAACAAAAAAGCCAATCTAGGTGATTACAATTAAAAATTAATAATAAAACATATTCAGAGTTAATATTGTNTTTTGCGATAATTTCTTCTTCATGCTATCCATAACTGCCTTATCATCATTAGAAGAATCTAATTATAATAAAACTCCAAAAAGTAAATGAATATTTAAATAATTCATATTTTAAAATATTTAAAAAGTGCAATGATTCTTAAAATTGATAATAATATATTTGATAATTTAATAAAGTGATATTAATATTTGCTAAAATTAAGTAAATAAAAATGTTTATGTTAAGTGACAATTTAACCAAATATTTGATGCAAATTATAAAGTAAAATATTTATAAGTGCTAATAATAAAATCATTAAAATCTACCAAACAAGAAGAAATAATCACTGAAAATATTTTATATTTATAAATAAATTACAAACTTTATAATTTAAGTTTGTGCTAAAATTGATAATTTTAATATTTTAGTTATAAATAATAAATATACTATTATGTTTTATTTTAAAATAATATATAACTTTAAAATATTTACTTATAATTTGTAATTTTGATGCCAATTCTGTCAAAGTCATTCTGTACTCTGGATCGTTGATATAATGTCTATAAACTCTCTTTTCGGATTCGTTAGGACAAGATAAATGCGATTTATAATACCTTGTGTCATAAGACGGAGCGGGAATGCCTTGCTAAACAAAAATTAAATTATTATATAAAATATATTTATTTAATTAAGTGTAATTTATTAGAATATTTTTACCTCATCGTGAGCCATAAATCGCACAAGGACCGTCGCACAAGGTATGTTAGGATTGTCATCCATGTGTTTAGATTCTAAGTGACGTACATTTATTTCCGGGCTTGGAAGGCCGCGATGCAATCTAATTTGGTGCCCCTCAACATTCACCTGGACCGGCTAAAGGAAAATAAAATTTTTCTTTACTCTTCGTTTTTTTGTGTAATGAATACTTTTGAGATTTATGAAATTTTCAACTTGAATACTTTATTTTATTTTTGGGCAATGGATAGCCCAACTGAATATATTGGCTCTTGTCAGATCATTGAAGTTAAGTAACAGAGAGGTAAGATAGTATGTCAGAAAAAGCAAGGAACACTGACTGATGCTGTTTGGGATCAACTCTGTAGCTGTAGCTAGTCCCAAGACTGAATAAAAGAGAGAAGTTAGTGATATTCAGATTATCCGGCCATAGAATGTATGCCAAAACTGATTGTCTACAATAAATGAGTGCAATATCCTATAAAACATGGGATATTCTAAGAGAAAGCACTTTACTGAATTTGTATTATTATAAACATTTTTAATAACGAAAAATATTGTTTACATTTCTTTCAGAATATTTTGAAAAATAATTTTATAATCTTTTCTAATTTTACTTAAATTGAATGTTTATCTTTTTTCCCTTCTCTTTTTTAAATAATAGTAAGATAACAGTGAGATAAAAATTTAAACTAGAATACTAAATTATACTTTTCAAAGTTTAGTTAGTTTTATACCATCAACAGAATACCATTAAATCTCAGATATAATATCAAAAATTTATTTCATATATACTGAAATTTTTCACTGTATATCAAATAAATCAAATAATATCAAATATCAATTATAATAATTAATTAGCTAGAATTATGCTGATTATACTGAAAATTAGCATAATTCTAGCCTCAAATCATTACTTAAAGTGTAGCAGATTCAGATTAATTTACATAAATTTAATTATTATTATTATGTTGGGTTTAGTAAGTTATACTTGACTGAAACCAGTTGTTGAGTACTATACCGGACCAGAGTCAAGACGTAGCAACCAAAACAACACAAAAATTAAAGAAGTGTGTCAGTGTGTGTGTCTTTATTCAGGAATTTCCTGACAATATGTATTCAATGTAGTGGCCTTCTGTAGTATGATGTATGTATTTCTATTCAATTGTAATGTTCCCAGGCTTTTGTGTAGTGTGATGTATGTACTTCTATTCAATTGTAATGTTCCCAGGCTTTTGTGTAGTGTGTGTGGTATCACACCTGTACAGGAGAGAACGACAGGTACAATAACTACCCTATCCATCCTCCACAGATGCCTTATTTCCTGGGCAAGTTCTGTGTACTTGCTAATTTTTTCAGTGCACGTGTTTTGTACACTGTGAGTGTTTGGAATGGCTATGTCTATAATGTATGTGATTTTATTGTGTTTGTGAATGAGTGTGATGTCTGGTCTGTTGTGGTAAATTGTTTTATGGCTCTGTCATAGTACATTTTACGCGTGTTGTTTTCCAATACTGTCGGTGGAATGTATTTGTAGTATGGTTTGTAAATGTCTAATAATTTGTGTTTCTTTGTATTGTTTATGGCATGATGTGACATTTTCTGCATGTGTCATTTGTGAGTGTTGTATCTTTGAGTATGTGTTCTCTGTAGTTTTTAGTATTTATGACCTGATCCTGTATGGCAATCATGGATCCTTCCGTCTCCCCAAAGAGGCATCCTCGATCCAACCAGCCGTTTGACACAGTTTTGTCAACAAAATCCCAGGTCAGGTCGTAAGGATGCCTGCCATGGAGTGCCTTTCGAGCCCATGATTACTTGATGGGGTCTATGCTTTTTATACATTGTGTTGTGTCCATATGATGTGCATGTAAGTTTAGTGGTGTGTTATTTGAGTCTGCTAGAGTTACTGCTTTATGTAACTGTGATGTTTCTTGTTTGTTTGTAGAAAAACTCTTGCAATGACTGTATTTGTTTGAAGTGAAGGTTCACTGTGTCCATCAGGCCACGTCTGCCATCTTTACGTGGAAGGGTTAATCTTTCTCTGGTGGATTTGGGATCATGATGTTCATGCTTAGTAAGCATTGTTCTTGTTTTCCTTTGGAGTTGCACGAGATCTGTGAGTCCAATGTATAACTCCAAAAGAGTATGCAAGTACTGGGATGACTGTGTGTTTTGCATTTAACTGTGTCTAATCTATGTATCTAAGAATGACATTTAACCTACTTTGGTATTCTTTAATTAATCTTTGCTTTATTTGTGTATGTTCTGTTAGTTTGGCTTGTTGGAATCCTAAATATTTGTAGACTTTGACCTCTTCCATGGATTCAATAATATCTCCACTTCCAAGTGCAAAATCTTCTTTCTTCAGGATTCCTTTTTCTATGTGAAGTTTTTTGCATTTGTCTAGGCCAAACTCCATTTGTATGTCCTTGGTGTATGAGTGTGTGATTTGTAGGAGTTGATGAAGTTGTTTTTGTGTAGATGCATAAAGTTTTATGTTGTCCATGTACATGAGATGTGACAGTGTGAACTGTGTTGTTTTTTCATGTCTGATATTGTAGTCGTAATGTGTGTTGTTTAACATGTTGGATAATGGGTTCAGGGTTAGGCAGAACCAGAGAGGACTCAAGGAATCTCCTTGAAAAATTCCTCGCCTGATAAATATTTCGTTTGTTTGTATGGAAGTGTTACTAACCCTGAGATGCAGTGTTGTTCTCCAGTGCTGCATAGTGTTTTCGAAGAATGCAATAAGTGATGGATGTATTTTGTACATATGTAGAATATGTAGCAGCCAACTGTGTGGAACACTGTCAAATGCTTTTCTGTAGTCTATATATGCCATGTGTATGTTTCTGTGTTGTTTGTGTGCTTGCCGTAGAATGACTGAATCTATGAGTAATTGTTCTTTGCATCCTCTGTGATTTCTACGGCAACCTTTTTGTTGTTCTGTAAGAATGTCGTGTTCTTCAACATGTTTGTATATTTTGTTTGTGATACAGATGTCAATAATTTGTAGAGTGTTGGAAGACATGTAATTGGTCTGTATTGTGTGGGGTCTGTGGTTTTGTTGTTTTTAGGTTTCATGTAGGTGATGCCCTGAGTAAGAAATTTTGGCATGTCTTGTGGATTGATGATGATGTGTGTTAGATGTTTAGCTAGTTCCTGGTGCAGTGATGTAAACTTTTTGTACCAGAAATTGTGAATGTTGTCTACACCAGGTGTCTTCCAGTTGTGTGTTCTGTTAACAGTGTATTAGATGTCGGGTACATTTATTTCAGCAGTAGGCATAGTTGGTATGTTGTGCAAGTTTTTGTTCTCCTCCTCGATCCAGCTTGCATCAGCATTGTGTGTGACAGCACGGGACAACGAGAAGACCAATAGGTTGTGAATTATTCTGTTGGTGTGCTACTGTGCTGTGTATCAATGTTTGTTTTGTTACCAATTTGTCTGTAAAAGAGTTTTTCATTGTTTGTAAATAATTTATTTTTTTAGTTTTGTATTGTTTGAGTCTACATGCTTTGGCTGCAAGTTTTTGTTTTAGTGTATCATTGTATTCTGTAATATGTATATTGTGATGTTTGTTTTGTGTGTGTTTTGATTTTCTTGAAAATGTTTTTGAGTTGTTTCTTTAATTTGGGTGTTATGTTGTTTTTAGTGTATTGTGTCAGCCTGCCTAATTGCTGTCTAATGTCATTTATTTGTGTTTCTATTCTTCTCTGCCAGGCAGGCTTGTGATAGAATTGTGTTTTGTGTGTGTTTGTCTGCGATTGTATTTTCAGTCCATGGTGTGTTACTACTGTGACTGCCCCAGCATAAACTAATGTATGAATGTCTGAAAGTGTAGAAATTGAATGGATGTAGTGTGGTAGTAAGTGAGTGTTTACATAATTTAGTGTTTTTCCTATTTCCTTTGACGTGTTGATTTTGGTATTCATGGTCTTTGTGTGGGATCTGTATCTGTATATTTCCATTCAAACATTTCATGTCAGTGAGTCAGTAAAGCCAATGTTATTTTATATTTTATACATAATATTTATACATAAATTTTGTCATAGTAAAATTTATGATTAATAAATAAGTTATTTTCATGTTTACAATAGTAATTTCATAATACTTACTTTACCACGAATGTTACTAAACACGTCTATAAGACAAGATCCAATAATTACAATCTGTTCTGTATGTCTTTCTATTGTATATACTCTGAGTAACACCAGTGCATCAGGATTCATGACTTGCTTCTCTCTGTTTATTGTAAGCTTGAAATCAAACTGGGGATTACGAGCGGGAGAATTTATCTTAGGAAAAGCCAATATTTCTGGAGTTTTTGGATATTTTTCGCCAAGATATAAATTAAGGAATTTTCCTGTAACCTAAAATTAAATATATTTTAATAAAACAATATTGTGTATAACTAATTAAATATATGCAAATTGTATATCTTATTGTTTTTTCAGATTGAAGTGAAAATTTAAACTATATAGAGCTATATAAACTATATAATTCACATTAATATAGACAAAATTATGATCAAATTATTGTAATTTAAGCGGAATTTAATGCAGGAATGCATAAAATACAGCCCACATTTCAATTCAACCAATCATTTAATTTTGGTAAAAATATTAAGTTAATAGGCCTGTTCAACTATTCATAAATGCATAATAAGCATTATTTTAACTTAAATCCACATATTGTAGTTGAGTTTAACTTAGTCTTGGACTGTTGGATTTGAGCAAAAGTATTTGCTTAACATCTATATGAATGTATATCAGCTATAATAATGTGATCCATTTAAAAAAAAATTTAATCTAATGTGATCTGAGTCGACAGTGTCAATAATGTTTTCTTTCATTAATTAAATTTTCAATAAAATGTAAATGCTCTCTAAAATAAAGTTGATAAAAGCTAATTTTCAAGAATTTTATGTATAAAAGCAGTCACTAAGTAAGAGTTTATTTATTTATTTGTCGAAGAGTTTATTATTATGATACTCTGGCATTTCACTTTCTTTTGTCCACATGCCTAAAGATGGCCCATTAATCAGTAAGCTGGCATTCTCTGAAAAGTAGCTGATAATTCAAAATTGTCCAATAAAAATCTGGCATGCTAGTATTTCACAATTTCAACATGTTTGGGCATACACAATAAAGAGTTCAGGCAGAAAAAACAGCATGTCTGAAAAATAATTATTATATGCACATAAATCGTTGCAAATGTTGATTTTTTGCAATAATATGTTCATTAATATTTTTGCAGGTTTTTCAGTCAATCTGAACACAGTAAAGTCAGCATCTTTAACAGTGGATGAAGTTGAAGTTGAACTAATGTTTTCAATTCAACTAATGAGCAATCTTCAGTTGTAGATGGATTAAAGTAAAATGCCAGTGCCAATTAGGAGGAAAGAGGAGATCTGCTACAGTTTTTCCTGGTACTGAAACTGGCAGGCAGCCAAAATCAGAACCATCTCTCACTCATCCCATACTAGCATTGCAAAAAGTGTGAAATTTATAACACTGTTATAGTATGTTTTAAACAGCAGGAACAAGAACTTCCTCTTCCTTCCTAGCAACATCTCCTTAGTCTTTTGCACCAACCACCACCAAACATAGTCCACCCCTCCTTGCTTGTTTAACTCTATCCATCTTTCTAACAGGTACAGGCATTTCACTTTCTTTTGTCCACATGCCTAAAGATGGCCCATTAATCAGGTCAAAAATATTAATAGTAAGTGTTCCTTAAACTTCACTCACTGTTAAAAGTGTACTGATTAATTCAATAGATTAACTACAATGTCTAGTTCATTCCCAGAATATAGTCATACACTGTCTCATATTTGGACTGATTAAAGTGTATGTAAACAAATTGGAAACATACAGAAGTATGCACTGATGCAAAATACACAGCAATGTCTGCAATGTTCAAATTGTACGGTACATAATACATCAAATTTTACAAAAATTACAAATATTATTCAGTAATCTGGCATATCTCTGGTCCCATATATGTCAAATTAATGAAGTTCTATTGTGATCAAAATTGCACTTTATCCTATTAAACAGAGCTAGCAATCAAAATAATTAAGGAACCAAGTCCGAGCGTTATTTTTAGTTATTTTTATTTTGCTTTTTATGCTATTTTGTTTGGGGCTTATGTTTTGTTAGGATGAAGGCTTCCTCACCATTCACCTTAGAAACTTAAAAATAGAAGAAAGAGAACCAACTCACCGACAAAAAAAAGCACCATAGAAAAAACTCACGCACACTTGCGCTCCCGAGCAGAAAAAAGTAAGTCCGCACCGAGAAAGAGGGAGGGAGACCCCACAAGCACAACTTAGGAACTTGCTAAACACGAAGAAAACATTCCAAAAAGTGTCAAAAAGAATAATGTAAAAGGTTAGCGAGTATTGTCGGGAAATAGGCTGCCAGGCAGAAAAGAAAAGTTTACTGTTAGCGATAAGTATGTAAATGAGGGAGTGATCTCAATCAGAATTGTGACGTCACCTCATAGTATAAAGTCTCCGAATCTCAAGTGAAAATGACCGAGGTGAGCTTCGTAGCAGCGAATGACAAGAGGTGTCCGATAGCGATAAAGTGGTTCCAAGGCGATTTGAAGTTATTCGATTTGTGGATCAAAGATTAGAAAGTCTTGAGAGTTGAGGAAAAAGGTTCCTAGTATATTGAGGTGATGATTAGGACCTTAGTTCATAAGAATTGTTGTACATAAGTTAAGTCTTTGAATTTTTTTGTCGAATTCCAAAGGGGAATAGATTTAAGTTAGCAAATAGATTGATTTGAGTTTTTGTCAGGTTGATTCTTATTGATTTTTCTTTGAATAAATTTGTTGTTTATTGTTACTAAATTTTGTATATAGTTATTACTAGAATTATTATTAAATATTGGATTGTTTTTTTGACTAACTTTGTCATTATTTCTTTTGGTGCATGCTTAAAGTCCAGGCCTGGCACACTAATGCGAATCCGCGTAAAGTACCTGTTAGGTAACGGCTATTTCCGGCACAAAGTCGTGTCGCTAATCGTTGTAAAAGGCATAAAAATAACTTAGTACTTTACAAATAGACAAACTAACAAAACTTTTCAAATTATAATACCTTATAACAGATCAAATAGCAAATAGAAAGGTATTATTTAAACTTAATTAAACATTCCAATTGTTTTAAATGTGTACAAATGACAGGAAACAAATAAAATATAGGAAAATTTGTAGACCCATCTGCTCTGGCAAATGCTCGATGGATAATAAATCTGGAGACTGGGCAAGCCAAGAAAGTGTGACACTGTGACAGAGATAGTCCTAGGAAACCCAAGCTGTGTACAGCTAAGCACTATGTTGCAGCCCTACCATTAAAAGCAACATGAGAATGCAGAATTTCCTAAACACTGTTTTGTCATTGATGTCTCTCATCCACTATTAGGGGTGATCAACTGTTATACATGATGGCTACCCACATCAAACACACCAACAGTGGGAGTGGTTTATTGCCCAACAGTGTAAATGGAATTAAGGCAATCACTAGTGGTACTCTATACTCTAACACAGTGGTTGTCAGTTTCCAAACAGAACTGGAATTTGTTTTTTTAAAGATGATACATTGTTAATTGGTAGCAGTCCATACTTCTCTGTCACAGCTGTAATGAAAACAAAGCCAACAATGTAGGGATAATAATTGCAAAACACATAGTGGTCACTGTGCATGCATATTTGTCTCTGCTAGTTGCCTGCCAATGATATGAGAAATGACAAAATTCTATAGCAAGGCTTCCATCTATTTCTGAATAGTAGACAAAGATGCCACTGCAGCTATTTGCGCTTGTCTCATGATCAGATGATCATCTCTCTTGGTCCATCTGAAAAATCTAGCTGTGCATAATATCTATGTCCTACAGGCATGCCTCCAAACGACATATACACTGAAAATTCTAAATAAAGTGAGCCTCTGAATGCCTTTTCATAAGATATTAGGATAGTAATTTTAAAGTACTCTAGTGTAGAGTAGTTTAAAAATATACTCTAGTGGTACATTTACTGACACTGAAATTCTAAAACAATTATCTACAATAGCAACTTATGCAGCAAAAAATGCTAATTCATTGTAAATTTCTCAAGATATAAAAAAAAAAACTAGAATTACTGTGAATTCATCAACATACAATGAACACTCTTCTGTAACTGCATTTAAATAAAATTCATACCTTCAGACAAAAATCAATACAGCCTATATAATGTAAGGTTGTAGAAATCAAAATCATTTGATTTTTCTGTTCCTGAGGAAAAACCATTCAAAATGGCCAAAAACATTTGGAAAAGCAAATAAAAAGGCTGCATTTTAAAGGTTTTTTTGGTTTTGAGGTATGAGTTTCATACAATGAACATATATTCTATGTTTTTCTCCATAAAAAATATAAAAAATGAAAATGTATGTAATTATTTTATGTAAAAACAGTTATTATAACATAGATAACAACACTTACCTTAATAATTGAAGAACTGTCTGATGTAAATCTAACAGAATCGATATAAAAATCGAACTGATCTGTTAATTTTGGTACTCTACTTGTTGTACTGTTCTGTTCTTTATGTGGTAGCCATGCATTACCACAATCTTCCTTTCGAATTTCTGGTGATTTTGGTGGTGGATCAGGAATGGGGATGGGGACAGGAACTGGAACCGGAGCAGGAATTGGTTTAGGTTTTGGGGGTGGTGGTGGAGATTCAGGAGGTTCAGAAAAATTAGCATTGATGTTTCTATTCATATCAGCTAAATCTTGAAATTTTCCTCCATTTAATACATGTTTCCATCCCTGTCTGATATCAATGGTATATAATAAAGATGATTCTTTTATAAATACCTACAATAAGTTTATATTAAAAATTAATTGTAATATACAATATGGCTTTTGTATAAGAATGCATTAATTATTTATAAAATTTGATATGTATATCAGGGCATACTGATTATTTGAACACATTAAATTCAACAATCTGTGAATAATTTTCATAAATGCAGCAGGAGATAAATGTAAATATAAATTCTTTTAATCAAAAGTAAAATTGTTAAAAATATAAATAAATAAACAAAAAAGGCCTGAAATATAATTATTTACAGGCTGTAACTGTGTAATATGATTCATTTTGAAGTAAATAAATTTATTTAGAAGTTTCCAGGAAAAAATTGGCCCAGATTGAAGTTTAAATCTGCATCTTCTGCAGATACTCTGCCAGTTATACTATTCAAAACTAACTGCCTACTTTTAAGCCAAATTGTGTAAAATTTGATTATTTAAAAATAGTACAGTTATAGTGTGTAAATAGTCTGGTTTTAGGCTTTTGGTTAATTAAATATCAGTCTATCATTTATATTGAAAAAAGTATAAAAAGTAATAAAACTACGTAATCAAAATGTATAAATTACATGGTCGAGGCAGTTAAGGCATTGGCTTATCACACTAGAAACAAATTTGGGCAGTTGAAAAATTCCAGAAATTTTTCATTGGCAGTCAGTTCCAAAATGTCAGACCCCATCCTTTATTACCTGCTTATCCCACTGTAAATTGTCTGAACCCAAGATGAGTATGGATAAAAGGTCTTCTTAGTCAAGGTTGAGAGCTTCAGGAATTATTTTCAAATGGTTTGTAATGGATATGTCAGGCTCCATTCTTTAATACCCCGTTGCCCTCATTTTAAGTCTGGCCAAATCCATTATCATTACCAAATCATTAAAAACAGGCTATATTAGTGCCTCAGTGAAGGAGGAATAAGAAAAATATGAGTTAAAATATTCTTAGAACAAACTTGATTACCAACATTTAAATTTTAAAAGTTTAACACAAAAAAAATCATACAGTCTATCCATGCATATAAATGTATTTTTGAAACCCAAACTGCCTACTTTTAAAGAGTGATCTTAATGATAATATAAATTGTTTTAGTGATTTTTATTCAAACAAATAAAAATACAGATACTTTGACAATAATAGAATAGTATACTATTGTGAGATCCCTGGCTACAGTTTGTTAAATTAAAGTATTAATTTGATAAATTTGTTAAAAAAGCATGCATTTATATTATTTATGAATTTTACAAATATTACTTACTTTTTTTAGTGTTAAATTTTTAAAAATTTAAATGTTGGTAAGTGAATTTTTTCTTTTCACATTTAAATTTTATATTATATTCATTTAAATTTACAACTTTCAAATTTGTATTTTGTTCTCTTTTAATTTTAGAACATATTTTTGTATTTGATCTATTAGTTTGTTCCATTTCTGTAGGATCTAACTGAGAAAGACCTAAAATAGGTAAAAAATGTTTTTAATGTATTAAACTCACTGCTGGAAGTCAATAAAGTGTAAAAAATATGAGTCTAAACATCTATAATTAATGTTAAAAAATCAATGAACTTACTTCTCTAACACCTCTGTAGTCTTCTGCAATGAAGAACCACGGTTTTAGTAATCCTAATAACACAAAACAGACATGCTGCAAGGATTTTTCATTCCATTCATCCAAAAATAGCTGATCCCAAACGAACATTGCAGCTAGAGGTTTTAATACGCTAACAAAACCCTTTAAAAAATTATTAATAGTTATAAAACTAAAATAACAATAATAATAATAAATATCAAAAATATTTTGGCATATTAAAAATTATTCACAAATATTAACAAAATAAAGTTTTTTATGTGTCATAAAATTACATGGTGTAAAAATGAATAAAAATAAATATAACAATGAATATTTTTGATTATTATAAACAAAATAAATTATAAATGAATAGACATGAAAGTATTTGTTAAAAGTATTTCTTTAAAAGATATAAAAATTAAGAATTCATTTAGATGAAATTTTTGCTTTATTAATTATTTACTTTTATTTATTATGTATTTATTTATATATTTATTATTTTATGTTATTTTAAATTTATTGTTTCTATTTTAATTCAAACATTATGTTTTAATTTTTAAACTGTATTCTTTCATTTGAAGTTGCCATTAACCAAAGAAAGTCGGTCAAACCAATCGAAAATGTTCTTAATTTTAACCAGCAATTATTCATTGTAACATTGTCACAATGCTGCACTGCAATTTTTAATCATATTTTTAAAATTTATTTAATTTAAAATATATACTCTTCATCTATTAACTCCTTTCAGGGGAAAGTTTTGAATAACATGACTTTCGATTTGCATCAGAAGTTCGTATATAGTTAATTGGGGCTTCCCATCCCTAAGCTTTCCGTATCTTATCTCAATGTTCATCTATCTAATTCTATTCTCAAGATTAAGGAAGGATATATGGACAACAGTAGAACTTTATAGGTCTACAATTTTTTAACCAGTCAGTTGCACAGTACTACCATTAAAGTAACCAGTTTTAGTTAAACTGTTGCGCAGTACTCCAGTTGGAGTAAGTTTCAATTTTTTTTTGTAATTAACTAGTTGGTGGCGATTTAAGCACTGATTGGCATTTATATACATAGACTAAGTCTGTTTCAACGAATAAGATATTTGTTATCACCCCGTATTTTTAAATTTTCTTACAAAACCCCTCCTTTCCATGTTAAGTCTATGGGAAACTCTTCTTTCGTTCATTGGACAATAAAATTTTTGTTTACAAGCCTGTTGAACTCCAATTGGTATATTATTGCTAAATGACTATGGTTTAACGAATAAGCATCGACTTGGGTCTGTAGGGTGGGAACTTTCTTTGAAAAAGTTATTTTTGTCTGAGCTACATTGTCAGCTATAAACGTAAACAATCAATCATAAATCAATATTGTCATTTTATTTTTAGCTTGAATTTAATAAAATCATACATATATTTATCCTATTTAACGAATATTAGTGTTTTTAGGATGATTCAGTTGTAAATTCTTCTAAAAAACGAAGTACTTTCGGTTAAGACCACGCCCCCTAGCAGAATGGCACTTGATGTAGATTTTGTAGCCATTACCCCCTCAAAAGCCAAACTACGTTATATATTATTAGTCGTAATATCACTTTACATGAATTTAGAATGCTNNNACAGTTAATATTTAAAATTCTTAAAATTTGTTAATTTTTTAAAACATACATAATATTTTAAAGTCAACAATCGTAAAGTGTGATATGTGTGTAATAACAGACAAAAAACAGCTCAGATCTACAGCAATTTTTAAGCATAATATTGCAAATTTAAAAATTACTATAAAAACCAACAAATATTGAGCAACAACGGTGTAGTTTCGAATTCTTGAGATGTGCAGCTGAGAGGTTAAAATTGAAGCCCAATAAATACATTGCAAGGATTAAGGTAATTTTTTGTTTGCTTTGACACTTTTCCTAATCACATACCACATTTTGTACTTTATTTATTTATTCACTTTATTATACATTTCACTTAAAACATATAAATATTTCTGCTAAAAATACAATTATTTTTATTAAAAATTATAATATATACAAACTAATTATATAATGTTACCTCTATAAGCCACTTTCGAATAAAAATTTCTGGATCTTCAATAATTTTCTTTTGGGATTTTAAATCATCATCAATATCGTTTTCTTGAGTTTCAGTAAACATCATTTGCGTTTTATTTTTACTCATATTAAAAATTTCGTGTGGAAAATCCTTTAAAACAAAAAAATATATATGAAAGTTTAAAAAATCTATGTTATAAATTTGAATAAATTTATTAAAAATTACCTCTGAATGAACGATAACATTTTTCTTCATACATTTTGAAATGTGATTTTGCAACTGTTTATCTTCTTCGCCTACTCTTTCCCATACTTTAGATGCAATGTCCGTTGCTACTTTTGGCTTAGGAGCAAAATTCCTAAGAAGTATTTCTAAGTACTTTGCCGTTATAATCAATTTTTCGTCTGCAAATAATTTTAAATAATTATCAATAAAAATGCATAATTGTGTATAATAAAAAATTAGTGTGAAAGTTTATGCCAGATATGGAATTTATTATGTATGTTTAGAGAATTAAATAATTTTTAGATAATTTATATCCATATAATACAGATATACCAAGATACTATTTATATAGTTATAAAGATGAAAAACTGTAGGACTATGGGTAAACTAGATCAAAAAATGAAAATAATAATGTTAAAAAATTTTTGTTAAATGATTGCCCATTAAGATACTTAATATAATATAAAAAACATTAGATTTCATGTTAAAGTAAGTAAATTAGATTATAATTGTTTCATTCACATGTGTAGATTTGATGTATAAAAAATATAAAAAAAACCCTTAAGTCATATGGAATATTATAGTATCTAAGTTTAAAAAATCCAGAAACAAGTTGCTTAACTTTTCCGGCAACATTTAGATTGGACTTTTTTTTTTAATATAATTTTTTCATTTTATTAAACGAAAACATTTCATATCATCATCAGCAGATGGTGAAGTGTTCAAACCCAAAAAACATTTACTTTAGGGTAAATACTACATTTTTACTGAATTTGGGCATAATTTGGTGCTATTCATAATTTATCCAGTTTCTGTGATGGTTGTATTAAATCCTCCTAATTGTCTATCTGTAGAACTGAATTTTAACTTGTGTGTTAATTTTTGCTGTGGTTATCTATTTTGGCACAATAAATAATTTTGTTGAAAGATCCTTAAAATAAATCATTTGTTAAATATAACAAGTTTTGATTTTCATTNAACATTTCGTTGTTTAGCAATGGTGTTGTACAGGGACTTCAATAGAGGGTTGAACTTAATGGGTATCCTCATATTTTCTATATTATTGCTTGTGTTTTGCGTGTTCATTACAATGTTGGAAGAAGCCTGTGTTTGTTTGTGGCGCTCTGCGATCTTTTGTATAATATTTTGGTACCCGTGTGATCTGGCTATACTTTCCAAGTATTTTAACTCCTCCGTTAGTGCTTTTTGTGTTGCAGTGTGTGTGTAAGCTTGTTTGACCAATGCCCTGAAAGCCGCCATTTTGTACTGGAAGGGATCACATGAGCTTACTGGTGTGTATGCCGATACACTAGTAGGTTTGCGAAAAACCGATGTGCGGATGATGGAATCATCAAATCTTATGTCCAAATCCAGGAAACGTACTTTGGTGTTACTGTGTTGTTCCATCTCTAGTGTCAGTCCATACGGGTTGTGATTCATTTCGTCTAAAAAACAGGCTAAGTTGGGAGTTGTCCTCCATAAGATGATGATGTCGTCGACAAATCTTTTGTATAGTAAAATGTCGTGGAGGAATTTAGGCAATGTCCTGTTTTCATATTGCCTAATAACTAGCTCACATCGGTGATACGCATTGGTTACAGGTTCCATAAGTCAGATTTATTGTATTGTATACAACCCGATGTGCAGTTGATATTATAGAATGCAAGTAACTTGAATAAGTGTGAATATGTAACATTAACCAGATCATATTTATAAAATAAACTAAAACATTTAATAAACCAAAAATATTAAAAGTATACAAATGAATGAATAACAAATTGTACTTATACCTAAGTCACTACGAACTAAGTTAAACCTAAACCTAAATATCCTATGTTGAACCTATCGAGAGAGAGTTTACAATAGAGTGGAATGTGGTTATATTTTACCTTTTGAATTCATTCAATATTTCAATGTATGAGAATCTTCTTATTTGTGGACATTCTTCTTCTTCTTCTTCTATTTTCTATGGCAAATTCTTTGTATGAATAACTCTTCTTATAACGGTCTCCTTGTGTAACGGACTCTATACATCATATGGAGAACTCTGTAATATGACTTTCATTTGATGGACTCTCTATATCGTATGGAGAACACTTCAAACGGCGGACTTCGTCTATATTGTATGGCTAATTCTTTCAATGACTTTCCAGGATTCATATGGCAATACCTCTTTCGACGAACTGCACTTGTGTGGCAATACCTCTTTCAACGGACTGCCCCGAATGGCGGGAAAATGTCGCTTTTATATCGGCCTTCTCTGACGGCAAAGTAGCATGTGCAAAGGCCGCATTTTCTACTCATTTCGACTCGTCTTGTGAGTCGGCCGTAGGAAAGGAAATCAACTTCCTTTCTAAAATCGAAAGTTTCTTTTGACATCCGTTTTTCAAAATTTTGTTGAAGTTTAAAATTTACAAAAATTTATTTTCTATTAAAATCTAAATCTTTTCCTCTCCTCTGTTAATTTGTCCAAAAATGACTTTCCTTCTAACTCTAGATTCTCACATAAGGCTAAATGACTGCCAGATTATATTGGGCTATAATAATGCTACTATTAATAATTAAATGTAATTTGGCCTAGAGGTAGGCATTAGGTGTCATCTCTTGATAAATTTGGTTACTATAATTAAATTAATTACTAATAGTAGCAGTAATATATTCCAGTAAAATCTGGAAATCATTTGACTTTAAAAAAATATTTTATATATATCAATATAATAGCTGTTACCCGCAACTTCACCCGCAGAGGTTTTGCAGGCAAACCCCATTTATATTCAGTATTTCAACAACCATAGTAATTGTTATATAACACCTACCGCTGAGAATAATGAGAATTGCCGAGAATCAAACTGATGTTTTCGATTTGATCAATTTTCTGGAATGTTCACAATAATTCTGTAATCGAATCAATATGCAACAACAAATTCAAATTTAAAACGGTTCGAACATAAGGTTAAAAATCAAAATATATAAAAATATTTATAACAATGTCTGAAATGTTATCAATTTAATACACCTAAGTAGTTAATGAAGACTAAACGTAATTGAAAACAAAAAATCGCATCTAAAATAGTACAGTAGAAGCCATTCTTCTGGTTAAACCTTAATGCTCTCCCTCTCCCCCCGCATGGGAATTTCGAAAAATCCCTTCCTAGTGTGCGTTTTCAAGACGTACTCTAACTGTGTACCAAATTTCACCTCTTTAGGTTCGGCGGTTTGCTCTGGGCGATGATGAATCAGTGACTCGGTCAGTCAGGACAAGTAATTTTATATATTTAGATAACTGTACATATATTTAATTTACTGTAATATGATGTAATATGTTATGTAAACTTGTATTTGTTACTCAGAGGGCCACAATAGACAGTCATGAACCACCACTGGTATGAAATAAGTGACTTTGTTTGCTTTTAAATATATAGATATAAATAAATTAAATATAATTACAGTATTAGATATACAAATGTATACAAATAAAAAACTAAGGAAAGTAGTAAATATATAAATGTTTACTTCTGCAACTTCGTAATTTGTTTAGAATTTGATACAAACCTTTATCAAATTCATTATTATGAAGAAAAATTTGTTGAATCATAATTGCCCAATAAATATAATACAAGTGATAACTTTTATTGTAAATATGAATGATATTGAGAAGTTGGGCAGTTTCTGTAATATCTTCATCAGTTGAATTATTTGTTTTGTGGTAAATCTGAAAGGAAAAAAATGTACATTATAAAGTTTATGATAATTATATATATTATTTATTAATCATATTAAAATTATTTTTAAAAAGTCCTATCTTTTTTAATCAAAATTAAAGAGTTTGTTCATGAGTTCTCACTGAATTTATTTTCAAATTATGAAGTAAATAAATAAAACAAAGAACTGTTTAGTTAATAAATTAGAGTGATGTTCTACAAAATTGATTTTTAACCAGCTTGTCATTTAAAAAAAAATGCTAGGTTTTTTTTTTGTCTATTTTTATTATTATTTATGTAAAAATCTATAGAACTTAAACATTATGTTTTGTTTATACATGTAAGGGCGTATTTGATGCAGCATTGACTTGCTGAGCTGCCACCAACTCATAAGAAGTTAGAATGCTGTAGAACAGCAATTCTCATCTGTTAAATGAGTTGCTCTAGGCCGAGGATGGTCAGAAATTTCACCAAAAATATGTTTTTAATAAAAGTGTTGGCTCTAGGCCAAACCAAGCTGCCACACGATTTATTTATTTATTGACATTGTGTCAAGTTTGAAATTTTCACATGAAGTAATTAAAGAACTTCCAAATTTATCTCCTAGGATATTACCATATCAAACAGATTAGTTTCTTTCTTATTTAAGAACATTATATATATTTTTAAAATTTAGTTACATTTATAAAACTTTATATATTTAACTTTTCTTTACCTCAAGTACTTCCTTATCGATTTGTTTCCATATCGAGCTACGAGTGACACGTGTTAGTTTTAACTCTTTCATTGAAATGGACAGTGATTTTTGAAAACTGTCTATAATTTGCTGGTAATGTCCTTTTCTAGAAGAAAACATTATAAAATGTATCAATATGTAGTTTTTCTTCAAATGTTTTGAATTAACGTAATGTTGAGAGACATCAGAATATGATACAAATATATAAAACAATTTAAATTTTATAATAATCCTAAGCTCAATGAATGAGCACATTAACAATCAAAGAATCATTACATTTCACTAATAAAAACTTTTCTAGGGCATTGCTGAAATATTTGGCAAAGATTTTGGAGAATATTCTTCACACCAAGATGTAAAACTTACTGTTTGAGAGAGTTCTTTTCGTGACACTGGTGATGGATGAGAGTGTACAATACTACAGACTATCAATATTTTTGTCTCGATATACGCGATACTTGCCATCAATAATTTTTCATTTTGATATTGTCGATAATCGATAGTTTCCGTGCACTATATCAACTATGACGATTTCTGTGTTTGACTGAGTAAATATCTGAGAATTAACTAGAACATATACATGAACCTAGTTGTTCTGTCTCACATAACACAAAATACAAACATATTCTTAAAAGTAGTGTCAGTGGCCAGATGGAAAGTGACAGAAGTAGCCAAATCTGTTTAAGACAGTAGCCAAAAGCAGACAAATGATATTCCACAACAAAATATTTCCAGATTTCTATTCTTATAAGATTTTCATCCTTTACATATGAGGGGATATGCTCTCAAAGTTTATTGAAAATTTCAGAAATACTGGTATTTTGATTAAATGAAAATTAGTGATTTGTAATAATTTTGTATTAAAATAGGTACAAGCTGTTGCAATTTAAAAAATTTAGACAAATTTTTATTAAAAAATAGTCTAAGATAACAAACTTCTCCACAAGAAAATAGTTAACTAGATATAGATTTAATAAAATGGTCAGGACAATAAGTATAAACATAAAACATTTACAAAATTTTTCAAATAAACAATACTTTAAAAAAGTCTTTGCACTTCATCCCTTTCACACACTATCAGGAAATAAAATCTCACATTATTATCTGATGGTGTGCAGTATTCCTGATATTTTACATATTGAGGCAGATGAGAAGTCTCTAAAGAAGCATCCACTCCATCATGAAACTACTATTTCCTGAAAGAAATGAAGAAGACACTTATTTTAAAGTCTTGTCTATTTGAGAATTTTTGTAAATTTTCTAAATTTAGAATTAATTAGATAATGATCACTTTCACTTATAAAGAATCTAGTAATAGTAAATCCTGGCGATCTGGTCTCTTATGACTCATATTTTTCCTACTTCTTCAAAGAAACAGACATGCAATCACCATTTTGTTACTGACAAAATGTGAAAATTGTCATTACCAGGTGGCTGCTACAACCAGGACAGGAATTTTTGAGGATGGGATGAAGCACATTATGTGTTGCAATAAGTGCTGAGTGATTTTTGCTAAAAAAAAGTATTTCCTGCATATAAATCCTGTATAACTTCACTTACACAATAAATGTATTTGTCTATGTTATTGGCTTGTAAAGTTACTCTTTGATCATATGTATATAAATTATTTACTATAATTACTTCAATGAATAACAACACTTTTTGGTTTTTAATCTTACCCTTTTTTCTTCTGGGTTTCTTTAGTGATAAGATAATCTCTCCACAAATGTGGTCTTAAAGAATGAGGGAAAATAATAGTATACTTTTTCAAAGATTTTGTTAAATCAGAAACTAATTCGGGACTATCTTCAATAAAAGAAGTCATTGCCATTCCGATTATCTCGGAGGAATTTTGGAATCCTCTGCTTCTTTTGTAACTTGACCCTTTATTGCCATTCTAAAAATATTAAATTAAATGTTTATCTGTAATAATTTGATATAAAGTTACGAATCCATTATATAATGAATTGAATAAAATATAAATAACTCATTCATTTATCCATGCAGTTTTGTCACAAAGATATTTTCCTTTTAATAATATTTTCTAAATTAAATTTAAGTATAATATTTACAGTATAAAATATGCAAACATCAACACAATTATTTATATATTAATAATACCTTTTTTTAATATAGTTTTTATAAGAACTAATTGAAAAGTCATGTTGAGATTTACACAATACTCAAATAAAAACATATTTCTGTAGAAGACAAAAATCGAAGAAAAGTTTGGAATTTGGCTCGGCTATTTGAAAATACTGAGCCAAGCCGAGGTTTAGACAAACAAGCTGCAAGACGAGCAGTGAATTTGGACCAGAACCAAGCTAGGTTGCATTGCCGCAGAGTCCATTTTTTAAATTAAAGTTGCATTTATGATAACAACAGATACACAGTATGCCAGATATGTTTTCATTTATATATTACTAAAATGAGAGCATTCATATAAAAACTACTTGAGCATTGAACAACTGAACTATAAACTCTAAGTCAGAATGACATGCAGTTCTTTTAACCTAAAAATTAGTAACTTTTAGATTAAGAGAATTATAAAAAGATAATAAATAATAATATTTTAAAATGATACAAACGACAAGCACTTCTAGCAAAAGTGTACAACAGAGTCCGATAATTCAAAGCAGACGGGACCAAGGCTACCTCGGAATATGGACTTGAGTCAAGCCGAGATTCCGGACTCCAGCCAAGAGCCAAGCACATATTCAAAATCCCAAGCCATAGCTCGGTTCATTTGTTAGAACTCTAAGTCAGAGTAACACTCATATATTTATTTTCTCACAATATTCTCAATAAAAATCTCATTTCTTACATCATTAAAAAACTTTAAGAAACTCAAAGTAATTTAATTTAATTAATCCAAGAAATTTTAAAGAAATTAAAATAAGTTGAGATATGCATACTATTAAATTCAATTTAAAATTTGTGAACTATTATTCAAAGATATATCATTGGGACTGCTCTAGAGCTGGTGTTGCCTGTTAGTCTCGAACCAGAACAAAACACAAAGGGGAAGGACATCCAACATTAGAACGTAGCCAAGAAAAAGCAACAACCCCATAGAAAGTAGGATTAATGATGTTAAAGAGCAGATTTATTCAAATTAGCATTAGAAAATTTTAAGCAAAGAATGAATTCTATAAATTTTTTAAGGTATTAATTTCAATTTATTTAAGATAACATAAAATTGAATAACTTCAAAATATCTATTATGATGATGATGATATCATTAATTATCTTATTTTTTTAAATAACAATCCAAAAGTTTTCAAAAATTAAATTTCATAAAAATTTTCTACATATTTAAAAAAAAAATTTAAAAAGCAATGCATCTTTTTAATATTGGATTTTTAAACCTGAAGATGGCCTGTGAATCAGGCTGAAAACGTTTGTTTGAAATAAATTATATTTCTCGGCAAGGATAAGGTGTTAGTTATATGTATAGTGATTTGCTGAGTACTTTATATTATTGGATTTTTAATTCAGAAAAATTCAGAATACATTTATATTATTATTTTACTTCTACATTTTAATAATTTATTCAGTAAATTTATAATTTGAAAATGTTTTGATATTTAAGATATTTTAAAACATTAAATATTTGCATTATCGTAATATATAATTTTTTCTTTTCATTTAAGTTATTTTTATTTCTAATACAATCAATTTTAGCCATAATTAGTATTGTAATTATCACAATATAAAAGTGCAGTACTCTAAATGACTTTAAAAGTAGCTACATTATGAGCTACTTTTCCTACTGACTTCCTATAATAGCCTTATTTAAAATCTTCATTTGTTTCGTAACTTGTACTGTAAATTCACTTGTTTTTCTCACTGGTGGCCGAGTGGATAAAAGTCACCAAACAATTGATAGTCAGTCCTGAGATTTCATCTGACCAATGAGCTGGCTGTTTGGAGTTTTTCAGATTTTCTTCGTGTGCCTAAATAATGGCTGGTTACCCAAAGAAAGACTTTCAGAGAGACACCACTCAAGATGTTTTGCCTTATCCTGTCGACCAAACCTTTCGTTTCACTGATTTTGATATTCTGTAAGATTTTTCCTTCAATTAATTCTTCTTATGTCCTAATCATATTTATAAACAACTGCCTTGTTTAATATTATGTTGCAATCATTCTCATTATATTAAATTTCAATTTTTATAATTGACAAGTATTTAATATTTATGCAATTTGTATTAGTTTAATGTAAAACTTCACCCAATTGAATATCTTCTATTGCAATAAATCTGTTTAGCAATACATTTCTTCTTTGACCATATTTGTAAAATGCATAGCATTTTCATTTCTCTACAAAAATAATAATTCAGTAAATTAAAAGTTAATTTATTGCTTGTTTTTGAAATTAAAATGTAGTACTCTCTTAATAGTAATTCCAAAATGAACATTAACTATAGTCAGTAGGCATCAGTACAGATAAAAGCAATTTTCCAGATTTAGCATGTTTTTGATGTTTTAACACTTAAATTTTTTAATAAATGTCTAATAATACTATAAGTTTTTCTGTTCTGACATTGTCTAATTTTATAGAATTACTGTATTTGTAGTCAGACAAGGTAAAATGAGAAAAGAGATACTTTTTTAAAAACTCTCATTATAGCAATAAGCTTCTCTACTACAATATTTTTTCTTGTTCTGCTAAATATCTCTATAGAGGGTTTTGACTATATATGAAATCGTAGAAAGGTCATTTTTATATGTTGCTCATCCACAGAAATATAATGAAAGATCACACAAGCATTGCTTAGCTTATATAACTGTAAAGACTTCCTTCAAGAGATTAATAATCCATCGTTAGTAGCCACCATTAATAATGGCTACCCAGTACAAAACAATCAAGGTGACCAGTGTTTTTAATGCTCTTATAGAAGAGATGTATCAAAATGTTATTTTTATGGATTTATAGGATTGACAAGCGTTTTTCAAATACAGTCGACCCCCGTATAAGATCATTGATTATTCCGTTTTATATGAATTCCATGTTGTACAAGTCACTTAAATTTTACAAATACGTGAGCCGTTCACAGCCCGGTACACGTATTTGTAAAATCTAAGTGACTCGTACAACATGGAATTCATA